CAAAGAGGTGATTTTGAAAGCTGAAGGTCGCGGGGTAACTTCTGGTTTTCGCCAGGTCAGCTGGGTAGGGAGGTGGTGCAGGAAGAGAGAGAGAGCGAGATAATTATTTAACAGCTCAGGAAACTGCAATACGGTAGCGATAGGTGACTGAATGTGTGTGTGTGTGTGTGTGTCTGTCGGGGGAAATCCTGCAGGGTTTTCTCTTCTCTTTCCCTACTAGGCCAGCAGAAACAGAGAGAGGGAGAGACCAGTGGCAGGTCTGCCTACAAATCACAGAATCCCACTATCCTTTTACATTCGCCGTCTCAGGGGAACGCTTGCCGGCTGCTCCGCGGGGCGTAGACACTTTTTAATACAAACCTTGTATCACAAACAGGGTAGGGGGGAGGGGGTTTGTACTCTACTTTTACTAATCCAATCTGTTCATCACTGGAAACTCCCTCAAGTATTTTTCACCTATGGTTGCTAATAGAATTTGGGAATCACTCCTTAGTCTGAAATTGACTTTAGATGACTTGACTTTAGGCCGATAACGAGAATGAATTGCCGTTTAGTTTTCGCTTCATTATTCACTCTGAAATCAGGTCCAAGTTTTGTGTGCTGTGCTCACGTTTGCCTCGGCAGTGATGCATCCATCTAATTAATGTCAGCGTCAGTAAACACACTTTAAAAAAATGGCAGCATTTCAGTTAGCTTGTGTCCTCCTTGCTACTTCATTCAACTTTGATTTAGATTAATCAGTGATCAATGGATGGATGCGACACGTGTGATGGTTGCTTTCAAACTGATGTGATCCAGTTGTGTAGTTTTATCGTATCAATACATATCTGGCCATGCTGCCGTCATTCAGCCTAAAATTCACCAGCAGTGTTTGAACAGAGGCCAGCAGAGAAAGTATGGAGATGTCAGCTGAAGTCAGAGGCAATAGCAGCCCTCTCACAAGATTAAATTGCAGGCTAAATTTCAGCCTGGTGTTGCCACTTGCAATTGCAATGTTCAAGCTCCTGGAGTGTTTTACTTGCTTTTATTTATTTTCTTTTCATTTCGGCCTTAATTTAACCAGGATGGCCTCTTGAGATTGAAACCGGTTTTGTTTTTTTGTGTGTGTGTAAGAGAGAGAATCCTGGCTTCCAACACTCAGCTAACGTACTTTAAGATGAGTGTGTCCCAGTCTGTACTGTGGACATAAGTGGTATCAGTAGGTAGCCATCCCTTCTCTCCATACTACAGACAGCACAGGGAGCAGAGGGGTTGTTAAGTTGAATGTGTTTGTCTGACTCATAGATCCTTTTTCTGACATGGCCTCGATCGTGACTCTGAAATATCAGTTAACCCAAATGTCCTGATAAATTCATGGCACTGTCCCTGGTGCTGAAGTACTACCTTTTTTTAATGCATTCTCACCCTTATTCCAGCTTCGTCCTGCATCTGTATTATACTCTGAACCGTATACATATTGTAGAGCATCCTCTATTGAGTAATATTGAACAATGTAAGAGAAGCAAAAGAATCATCAAGACACACTGGTGCTTGTAGTATTCCTATAATATTCTATGGTGGGCTGCAA